CGGCAAAAACGCTAATTTCGTTCGTGAGAATTGGCTACCGTTACGCGGATGAACAATAGCGGTTATTTTTTGCTTCAAATACACATTATAATAATTTCACTTGCCTCTGTGTGTGTATGTATGAATTCAAAAACAACACATCCAATCGCCATGAAAATTTGGGAAATTTAGGTGAATCCCCGGGAAGGTTTTTGCATAATATTAACACCAGGTGGAAGGGTTAGGCAACTCTAACGTATTTTTGTCTATTTTTAAGGCAAATTTTATTTGTTTGTTTTTGTATAAAGCGTACAAAAAACCATATATGACCCTAAATTTTGACCCCGTTACCAAAAACTTGTATTTCGTTAAAGGTGGGCATCTAAAAATCAATTTTAAACTTGCTATTATTCTCATAATCAGACTAATTGAACATTAGTCTCATTACATAAAGTATGATGAAAATTCTAGTAATAAATTGAGATTCTCATTCGAATCTCATTTCCCATTCTTCACCACTTTTACTCTCAAGAGATGATATAACAATTTTTTTTCCCATGCTCGTATTAATTCATATAACGACATATTCATATTTTATTGCATACATTCAGAATTGTTGAAAAATTTATGGTGAAAGATCATGATGAGTGATCATCAATTAGATCAAAAAATTTAATTTGATGGTCAATATAACATACCAGAACTTTATTAAAGTTTGTTCATTTTTCAATAAAATTTAAATATTATGTATGATATAATAATAATTAACTTCTCGCAGTTAGTTGTTATAATCGTCCAAAATCGTTAGAAGTTATTGTAATCGTCCAAAGTTCGAGATTGAAAATTTTTACATTTCTTCACGTTTTGAAGGTTTCTGAAAATTTTGGCATACCTCAGAAAAAATGGATGTATGCGTATGTATGTATGTATGTATGTATAGATACAATTTTTCGTCCACGTTTTCGGGCGCACGGATCAACCGATTTGAATGGTTCAAAAAACATTCGATTTCTATTGATAAGGAGATGTGCTGATTAATTTTTGGCAAAGGCAGGTCCAGCCGTTTCGGAGAGACGAAGCAAAGAGTGCAGAAAATAGAAATTGAGTTTTTGAGAGAATGGAGCATCCGATTTGAATGATCTAAAAAATATTCAATTTGTAATGATTGGGAGAAGTGATTTTTAGATTTTGACAAAGGCAGGTCCAGCCGTTTCGAACATACCGAGCTAAATGTGCAAAAAATTGCAGTTTTTAGAGAACTAACTAATCCCGTTTGAATGATTCAAAAAACTTTCTACTTGTGTTAACAATACCATTGCTTTTGGGATTTTAAAAAAAAAAAATTTTTAAGTTTTTATTTGAATATCGAAAATAAATCAAATTTTAATTTTTTTCTAACTAAAGTTTTAAGACTTACTAATATGCTTCAAATAAATGATTTTAACTTTGCAATTGAGTTTATATATTTCTTATAAATATTATACAATGTCTTTTATTTTAAATTCAATTGATTAAGTTCTGTTTATGTCGTTTTCTGTAAACATATCAGTTACAGTATTTATAATAATCTATTTGAAAACATTTAATTTACGGTACGGGAAGTACCAGCAATTTGACCTAACGCGCGATGCCATTCACCACTAATGAATTTAATCTTGGAATTATGTTTCTAATTATTATAAACAGATTTTACTACTATAAAATCCTTTAATAATAACAATTCAATAAAATCGTGTTACTAAAAATTGTATTAAAAATATTGTCATGATAATAGTCTTGACAACTTATATTTGAAATATCAGGCCCTTGACTTCTAATCACTTCTAATATTTTCAAAGTAAGTTCAAATTTTGACATTAAATGATTTTTTTTTAAATATGAATATATGAATTTTTTTAAAGTTTTTAAAATGTATATTTACATAATTTTAAAACTAGTTTTTTTTTCAAAATACTAATTCTTATGAAAAATTAGTTCAATTACAAAGGCACGAATGCCCTGAGGAAAATTACTGCTTTTCTCCACCACATGTTTCTTATAGAACTTTGTTTATATATTTTTTTAAAAGTATATTTAGAATATCTAAAACAACAACAAACTGAATTGACAGAATTTTGCTTGAATTAGTTTGGGGTTTAATACTAACAATTCGCAAATTTTTGAACACGTAATTTTTTTAATAATTATCTTAAAGCGTATAGTTGAATCAGGATATTATGTCATTTTATTGGATACAAAATTTAATTGTTTATATATTATTTTTGAACTGTATATCATCAACAATAACAACATCAACAACGCATTCTATTATTTCGAAATACCTATAAGCTCTTGGCTCTATCATCTGGCTTCGATCCTCAAATACCGAGATTCTTCCGTGCTGACATTTATTTGTCGACTTGGAAATCCTTGAGAAATATCTTTCCGTCTAGAAGACATTTTACAACTCGATATTGCGTTCTTGAAGATGACGATAATAATGCCCCCGACTGCTAACTAACTATCTAAAACACTTGGGAGGAGGAGGATAATAATTGATGGTGAAAGATTCTATGAAAAAAATGGATTACCAACTATAAGCCTATGGTTCTGTAAATATTTCCATTACTATACTCGTATCATTTATTTGTTACCAAGAATCTCATCCAATCGATTGCATCTGATGAGCAAAGAGAGATTGTAGGTATCACCATGTCATAATAAAAGGCGCGCCTCCGACCATTTATTAATAAGCCATTCGCATTCAACAATTTCGCCCGATATCTTTTGTTCTTTTCAATATTATCATTCCTAGAGTCTTTTGTTAATTTATTATTGTTACACTCACAACTACTCCTTATTGTTGGTGTCAGAGACCAGAGATGTCAATTTAAGGTGCGGTACATTTTGCACTGCACTACTGCACCCACGATTTGAGATATTAAACTGATCACGTTCGGATGATTAATAATTAGTTGAATCTTTGGGAAGATTTTGTATCACGATTTTATGATAAATCTCATATAAAAAATAAGTGATGTATGAGAATTGTGATTTAAGAAAAATTACTTCAATTTCGCGTTTTGTGAGAAAATTTTAGATGGTTAACTTGATTTAGCATATACATTGACATTTGTGAGAAAATCAATTTTTATAACTAGGGAAAGGTTTGTTACAACTTAACTTAATATTTATGTGATGTATAAATAGTATCCAAATATTTTAATAATTATTTTTATAACCCATGTAACAAACTATAAAACAATGAAACTCATTTTATAAGTAATTTGAGATGGAATCTAAGCCATACTTAAACCAACTTGATTTTTCACAAACGAATTTGCAAGAGGAGCTTGATGGTTTTTATGTATACATGACAAATATGTATTGCATGTTTTTATAATCTACTGTCTGAAAAATAAATTATTAAAGAGAAATTGACAAAAACAATTACATCTACAATTGTTAATGATCCTAACATCTAAAAACCTAACTGGAATAAATAATTGAACCTAGTTGTATGTGGTATTTTGACTTAAAGCAAGTTTCATGATCTTTTCTAAATATGTGCAATAAATTAATAAGAATTCAGATTTAGCAACTTTTATCATTGCTACCATACAATTTTAAATTTCAAAGATTATCAAGGCTATGATCTCGCACATCATACTGAGATTCATCAAAATTATTGAAAATAAAACTAACTACCAATTAGAGAGAAATATACCAGAGTATCTTTACCCAAAATTTATCGGCACGATTCCCAACCGGTGTCCTTAGAACATTTTATCAATTTAAGTCGGTTCAGAATTTTTGGCTACGAGATGCTTAATTTTTTTTGCATATTTCTAAAGAATTGGTTCAGCCAATCCTCTCACCAACCTAACTAAGAAACTAACCAAGGTCCTTCGAGTTCTTATCGAGTTTCATCAAATGGATTTTCAATTTTTGAAATCAGTTCAGTCGATTTTTTTCTAACGAAACCAAAGGAAATTATCTGAATGAGAGTAGTTCCATACTAGTGGTGTATTAATATTTCTAATCAATTTTAGGATATTTTCCTAAATCAAATTAAAGTAATGGTGACGGAGATGATTCTGCAGAATCATTCTAAGTATGTAGTCTAAATAGTTCTGAGTAATATCAGAAAGTTTTTGAATAACTGCAATATAGATAAATATCTACAAATTACAAACAATTCCAAATAACTCTATCCCACCACTTTTTATTTAACCAGTTAATTTTGACGATTATATGGTCCTTCGAGTCTTTATCGAGTTTCATCGAACTGCTTCTAAACTTTTGAATTCAGTTCAGCTGTTTTTTTTTTCTAAATGAACCAAAGAAAATTTACGAAATTTCATGAAGGTAGTTGTATACTAATGGTGTATCGATATTTGTAATGAATTTTGGAATATTTTTCTAAATCACTACCTAAAGTAATGGTTCTCCAGAATAATTCTTAGTATGTTATATAAAAATTTCTGACCAATTTCAAAATGTTTTTACATAAGTGCAATATAGATAAATATCTACAAATTATAAACAATGCCTGATTACTCTATTCCAACACTTTTTATTTAACCAGTTAATTTTGACGAATATACTCCTCATGTAGAAGTAGCAGAATTTGTTGTATTGACAAATATATATGTGTCATGCGTATAAAACAGTGATCGTTTGCTAATTAAATTAAATATAAATTGATGAATATACTCGTCATGATCTCGATATGGACGTCACCAAACTATGCGCACTATTTGATAAAAGCGTCAAAAACACCCTTTTCAAAATATTTTTCTAAATCCACATGAAGTTAATTTCAAAAGCTGACGAAGATGGTTTTCTCATCATACCAGCTAGAGAAATTAAATTTTTCTTCTAACTATTTGTAATTATTTTATTTCTGGTACAAAGCTTTCCAAGACTATTCTATCCATCTACCAAATCTATCTTTTATCTAAAAGCATAAATTTTGCGCAACTGTCTATGTAAGTTGCAAGTAACTTGCACGTACAATTTGTTGCTTCTTCATCTCGTACCTGACTTGTTGTAGTCGTACGTGTTGTGTGATTTGCAGATAACGCCGAAGACATGTTGTCATAATCAAATTTATAATTATTGATTTAATGATGTATAAAGACACGTGCCAGGCAATAGAGAGAAGGATGCTATCGTAGCATCATATGATGATGAGCAACACAATTGCAAAAGGTTTCTGAGAGATTTTATTGTTGGAAGCATCTGTTGAGCAAAATTATTTCTGTGCTGTTACTGAATAACGATGCAACTGAAATTTTTCTTTACGTTCCAATCGTTTCTGAACACTTTGGCATGTCCTAGAAAAATAGATGTATGGATACAATTTTTTGTCCACGTTTTTGAAAGCACGGATCTACAGATTTGAATACACAATTCGATTTTTATTCATAGGAAGATGTGCTGATTAGTTTTTGGCAAAGGAAGATATACAGATCATTATTATTGATTTATAGTATTGATACCAGGATGACTGATAGACAGCTGTTAAGGCAAACAAGTGTACAGGTAGACAGGTGACCTAGTAGACAGTTAGATACATAGAAAAGTTAACTTAGTTGGTATTGGTATTTTACCTTGAGGCAAGTTACATGAACTTCCCGATATGTGTAGACAATCGACTTAATAAATAAAAAATAAATTAATGTATGAGTGATTAAAAGTATTTCGAGTGGATTCATTACACATCATTGAAATCGAATGAACACATTAATTCGGAGTATTTTCTAAAATCAAATTTTCATAAATCAATAATTTTTTTAATTAAATCAGTTTCCTTGGGGCTTTAATGGTTTAGTATATGTTCATTAACACCAGGTACTCTACCGTTATAACAAGTAAATCGTCTAATTTTAATTTTAACAGACGTCAAAAAAACTACTCAATCAACTTCGAAGAATTTTCAAAAGTAAACCACTTGTCGTACGGCCGTAATATTTTAGTATGATCTATAAGACTAAGGTATCTACCGTCAAAAAAAGAAATCATAAAAAAATACGTAAAATCTTTTTTTAACACTTTATTACATGAATACGGCCCGGCCGATCTTTACTAAAAACTAATCTGCACGATTACTAACCAATATCTTTCGAACAGTTATTGAATTTTCAAAATCGATTGAGAATTGGGAGCTAAAACGTGGACAGAATTTTTTTCACTTTTCTGCAATTTACAAATTCAAAAAAACGGTTTGGCTGATCGTCGCGCAAATTTGATAAACTCTAGTCCTCAACGAGATACATCAAATGACTTTTAAATTTTTGAAATCGGTCCAGCCGTTTTTGAGAAAACTTCGATTTACGTCAAAAAATCTGTTCTAGTAGAAAGGCAAAGAAGTAAATAAGTATTGGTAGCTCAAAGGTAGGCAAGGTAGACCGGTAGCTACATAGACAAGTAGACAAGTAAACGGATGAGCAAGTAGGCAGGTCCAAAAGTAGACTAGTTGAAACTTTAACAGGACACTTCAACAGGACACTTTGTAACAAGTAAACCGTTAAAAATGTAATATTTGTTGAATAAGTCGATTATTATATAGGGAAGCTCATGCAACTTGTATTGTTTTGCTTCTACCTAAGAGTTAGCTCTAAATACTAATTTGGTAACATATCTATATAATATATAACTAATATTACATAGATTAGAATCTGAATTTTTTTTTATGTGAGAGATACTCTACTCACGAAACAATTCTAAAATGTGCAACAAATTTCTACTAAAATCTAAGAAGTGGCAAAAATTAGCGACGATTACTTAAAATTCAGCAATGAATTGATCTCAAGGTTGTATTTCGAGTTTTGTAATTTCTATCTACTTAAGTTTTCAGGAGACAACTTTTGTATCCTCATAATCATAAGTAGTGAAAACATATTTTTCTCGAGTGTTCATACTTAATGAGATGCTTTCAAAATGCAATCCAACTAATTTAAATGATAGGTTGACCAAGTAAAAAATTATTTTCATTAATTTAAAGTAAAAGTATTATAACTAATCTTCTGCTAGCATCATTTATATCGATAACTACGTCATTTGCAGTTTGTCATCTTACGAGGCCGTAAATAATCTTATTAGTACATAGAAGCTGTTTTCTGTAATTTCTAATGACTATCCTGTTACACAGATTATTGTGTAATAGTTATGATAAGATTCTGTAATTTTACGTTTCCTCATCTGATATCAAAATAAGAAAATATAGTAGAACTACTATTGAGAAACAACTATGAGGAATAAATAGACCATGATCATAATTGATAAGTGGTTCGTATAAAAAATATTATAGTAGATTTGCAGTAGATTTAGCAGATTTAGGCAACTATTTGGTGACTTTAGACAACATAATTTGATGAACAAAGTTTGATGGCAACTCGTTGGATACCGAAAGTTCCGAAATAAAATTACTAGTTTTGGACAACTACAACTACAAGTTTTGATAGCAACTTTTAGGAGCATCCAAAATTTAGGTTAGCTCAGGAATAAAATTACTAGATTTAAACAACTATTTGGTGACTTAGAATAATATAGAAGTGTACAAGGTTTGATCCAAAATTTAGATTAGTTTGAAAATAAGATTACTAGATTTGGACAACTCTATGGTGTGTTAAATCTGAACAAAGTTGCAAAGCAACTCATTGGGTGTCAAGTGTTTGCCACCCAAAATTTGGGTTTGATCCAAAATAAAATTACTAGATTTGAACAACAATTTGGTGACTTCAGATATTAAAAAATTGAACAAGGTTTGATAGCACTTTTTTGGACGCAGCCGAGTATATGCAATCCAAAATTTAGATTGACACGAAATAAAATTCGTAGATTTGGACAAATTTTGATAGCAACTATTTGGATGGCAAGTGTTTGCCACCTAAAATTTGGATTAGATCAAAAATAAAGTGACTAGATTTGGACAACTATTTGGTGACTTTAGGTAACATTAATCTGGCCAAGTTTTAATAGCAACTCTTTGGACCCCGCCGAGTGTTTATCATCTAAAATTTCGATTAGGTCAAAAATGAAATCAGTAGATTTAGACAACTATTTGGTGACTTCAGATAACATAAATCTGAACAAGTTTGATGGCAACTCGTTGAATGCCGAGTGTTTGCCATCCAAAATTTAGATTAAATCCAAAATAAAATTAGTAGTTTTGGACAACTATTTGGTTACTTTAGATAACATAAATCTGAACAAGTTTTGATAGCAAGTAATTGGATACCGAGTAAGTGTTTGCCATCCAAAATTTAGATTAGATTCGAAATAAAATTAGTGGTTTTGGACAACTATTGGTGACTTTGGATGACATAAAAACTGAACAAGGTTTGATAGCAACTTATAAGATGCCAGATGTTTCCCATACAAAATTTAGATTAAATTCAAAATAAAAAGAGTAGTATTGGACAATTATATGGTGACACCTTTTGAGGCATCCAATGAGCAACTCATTGGATGCCAAGTGATTGCCATCCAAAATTTAGACCCTGGCATATATTTTCATATTTTTTTTTCAATTCTACTTGTTGTTTATTAATATCTTCCTCCATCGATGTATTACAATCAATACCCATTCTGGAGAGAATCTCGTTTGGAGAAAAGATCAAAAGTGCCATTTATAGGATGCTGCGTTATCTGTATGATTTACGAATATTAATATGCAAAAGAATTTTCCTTTCTGATTGCGTATTTATACTTTAATGACCATCGTGCATGTGTGTAATGCGAAACATTAAATATGAAATATGAAATATCATGTTTTGAAACCGCAAGCTGGTTTTGTATTGGTATTTTCCAATAGCTCAATTGATGGAGTTCGATATTGTAATTGGATGGTCAAAACTAGCAAGTTTGCATTAAAAAAAATTTTTTTTTCAATTAATAATCCTAATCATAATCAAAATTAACAGTTTAAGAAATATCATCATACCAATAAAAATTTATGACAAAAAAATGAATTGTATGTCTAAAAATAATAGTGATACAGAGCCTTGCTTTGTATAATGTAATATCCCAGAAGAACAAGTTCTAAAATTAATTTATATCAATTTAGATTCACTTGATAATATATGAATTTCAAGTTCTATTGAATTTTATTCGATTTGTATTTTACGAAAATTTCTATATTTAATAATGTTTTAACTCGCTTGGTTTTTTGTGAAGAAAAATTTGCTAGATATACTTTGATTGATTAAATATTTTTTTTTACAATTTTTAATTTTTTTAGTTTTAAATGTTACAGTTTATTACGTATATAATTTTCTTATTGGTTTCTCGTAAACAATTTGTAATTTTTCAAAAAAAAAGAGCATTTTTAGATATCAATTTAATTGCACTGAAGGCTTGTTCTAACTAACAGATTTTTTGCAAATTTTCGTATTGAATGATGAAATCTTTGCAAATTTCCTTCAACAGATAGAAAAATGGTATATTATTGAAATTAATAGCTTCTTTCGTATATGAGTTTTTCAAGACCTATTTTTTCCTATAAAAACCAAATGCAGTTTAGTAAATATAAATTCAAAGGTAAAGTTTCATTAGACTTTTTTACTTACTTCGTAATTGATGGTATTTTTGTAAAATAATTAATAGTATATAAATAGTTGCCATTGTAGAAGTGTTTGAATATCAAAATAATGGATACTTTTGATTTATTGACCATCATTTACTTACATCCAGCTTTAAAATTTATTTGTACTCATTTATAATAATGATCATTTACGCAAATGGATATTGCTTCGCCCATTATAATAATTCAATAGGTCAAACAATAAAATTCTAATATTTTATAAATTAAATTATTTACCGAAATAAATCTTTATATGCGCAAATTTATGGCTTAAGGATCACAGAATCAAATATTTTAAATAAATCAATAAATGCCAAGAATTGACTATTAAATTTATTATTTTTCCTCAATTTGGGTGGGTCAAATCATAATATTGAAATGCATTCATGAAAATCAAATGCTTGAAGATATTTCACAATTTAACATTTATCTTTTATAATGACTCTAACATACATTATTTTTCGCTTAATTTGGAAATTTAAGTTTACTTTTCCCCATTAAATTTAA